TGCTCTCTCTCTCTCTCTCTTCTCTCTCTCTCTCTCTCTCTTTCTCTCTCTCTCTCTCTCTCTCTCTCTCACACTGTCTTTATCATGTATATTAGGATAACAATAACCACACATATTAGGGTGTGACCTGACATGGGCTGATATAAACTAGGAGCTACATCCTTATGGAGTGAAGGTAACATTTCCCTTCCTGGTGCATTTTCTTGTCCAAAATGGGACCCCAGAACCCACCTGGAAAGCTTCCTATGTTAGAAGGAGCTAAAGTGAAGACTGCATGGTTCTGACAGATTTGAACCTGTCCTGTGGCTCCCAGGCAAGCTAACTGAAAATGTGTACAAGTTGAAAAGTTCTGGGAGGTAAAGGTGGCTGGCAAGATACTGAAAATATGGCCTATCAAATGTGCATTTATTTTTAAAAACAGGGTACTATTTTTAAATTCCCACCAGTGTTTGGTGGGGGGGAAATGGGGGGGGGGAGGGGGGGGGTACACTGCGCCGTAAAAAGCATGTTATAAAACATATATATATTTTTTTTTTTAAATCAGAAAGCATCTGCCTGATAGGTGAGGAACAGTTTGCATACAAATAAGCCAGATCTGTAAAACTGATGTGCACACAAAACTCAAGTTCCTGAGCAAGACAAACGTTCAGAAGTCGTCGAACAACCAAAGCTTTCTGCCAGATTTTAAAGTTAGCAAACATAAAGAAGAAGAAGAAATACCTAATATATCTCAGTCATGAAACAGGGTTTTTATTTCTCAGAAAAAAAAATTTTTATACCAATAAAATCATTATATTTTCAAACATCACTTGACTGTCTGAGAGCAACTACAAAATGAAGTTAGACTGTTTAAACAAGATTTATAAATGAAACTTTTTAAACAAGGATTTCAAATGAAAAGTGTCTGAACAAGATTTTCAAATGAAATCTTCTGAACAAAAATTTAAAATGGAAACTGTCTGAACAAGATTTCTAAATGAAATTCTGAACAAAGTTTTAAAATTAAGTTGCCTGAACAATTTTCACATGAAACTTACTGTCTGATTATCAGTATCAAGGGAGTTTTACTGCTGGAAAAATATTTTATAACCAAACTGGCTATCCGAACAATAAATGCAAACAAACTTATACTTTAAAATAAATGTGCTGACTCAACTGTATCCTTTCCCCCTAAACCATTTAACGCACTCATTCAACTCAAAACTGGTTCATCAGTTGGCCCAAATTTTAAAAACTTTTATCTGTAACAGATTTTTTTCTAAATTTATTCATTCTATTCAAATTACAACTCTCCATATGATTTCAGTGGTCTCCTATTGGAAACCAACAGTTCCATAACAAGCATGTCATAAGAGGTAACTAAGTAGAGGTCTTTCTTTCAAAGTCTGAGTACATCTGCCCGAGAGGCAAGGAACCAACAGTCTGCATGCAAAAAAGCCAGATCAGTAAAACACAAGACTCAAGTTTTGGAACAAGACCGAAGTCCAGAAGTAGACGAACAACTAGAACTTTCTGCTAAACTTTTCCCTAAACTTCCACCTAAATTTCCCTCTAAACTTCCTGCATCCTACACACTCTAAAAGTATAGCTACAGGCAATAAACAGACGCTGCCCAACTATGTAAGTTTAGTTACTTCTTTCCTTTGAGTTATTATTATGGGAGGGGTGGGGGGCATATGACTAAGAACCAAAAAAAACATCCTATCTGGAATTTTTCTATTACGGGTTAAGTATTTATCATGAAACTCAAATCATATCAATGCCTCGTTTGAGACACATGGGCAGTAGCTGATCATACATGATGTGTCAGTTGGGAATGAAAGAGTTAAATAACAAACCTTATCCTCACATTTTTCTTCAAATCTAACAAAGTGTGAACTGTGTATTACAGGCACGCACACACACACACATATATACACACTCACAAATGTCAACAAAGGCAATGGAAATAAACAACTGCTGGTGTCTCAATGGAAAAATAAACAAACACCTGTTGGCGTCTACGTGACATCTACTACTGGGGGTAGTGACCAAAACAAGTAAAACAGAAAACAATGACAAGCCTTCCGAATAATAACTGAGCTGCATCTACAAATGATCAGGCTTACCATAGAGCGCAAATTCCATGATGCATAATACTTGTTAACAAAGAGAGGCAGATTCAAATTATGTTTGATGGCACAGGGAGATGGCAGTTTTAACTGACTGAGACAACAAAATAAATTTTAAAAAACAAAAAGGAAGATTCAACTGTTTGAGATTTTTTTTTTAAACACATGAATATTAAATGGGAGATTAAAATGCTTAAGTTTTTTATTTTATTTATGCATACTAAACAATGAATGTACGCACGCTCACGTATACAAGCAAACACACACATACACACACACATGTAAACAATCTCTCTTGTACTCATTTTTACTACATCAAGCATACACACTTTCTCACACTATCATGGGAACAAAACATTCTCCCCCCCCACACACGCGCATATGCATGAATGCACACACACACACGTCATCTTTCTTTTACTCTCTCTCTCTCTCTCTCTCTCACTCACAGACATACTTTATTTCTATCAAGAGAACAAAAGATCCCCTCCCACGCGCACGCACGCACGCACACACACACACACACTTTTTCTAATAAAGTCATAGGAACAAAAATATATATTTATCTTTTCCTTCTCTCTCTCTCTCTCTCCCTCTCTCTTTCGTACACAAACACATACACAATTTTTCTATCACACACACACACAAAGACACACATACACACACACACATACTACCTCTATCAATGGAACCAAATCTCTGTCTCTTTTGTTTTCTTACACTATTTCTCTTGTAGTCTCTTTCACTATACCACACACTCTCTTTCTCTCTCATACACACATCCTTTATCTTTTAAGGGATCAAAAGTACTCACTCTCTCTCTCTCTCTGTCTCTCTCTCTCTCTCTCTCTCTCTCTCTCTCTATATCTCTATATATATATATATGTATATATATATATCTCTGTCTGTCTCTTGTCTCTCTCACTCTCACTCTCTCGTTCTCTCTCTCTCTCTTTTAAGGGATCAAAAGTACTCTGTCTCTCTCTGTCTGTCTCTGTCTCTCTCTCTCTCTCTCTCTCTCTCCATATTTCTTACACAAACATACCTACAGAAACAGAAAAGAGGCTTAGGTCAATGAAAACAAGAAAACAATCATACCTACACCATCAAACAATACACTAACACAAGACAACAAAGAGAACACTTAGGAGACAAAGTCATATAATAAATATGCAGGAAGATGAATGAGTGAAGTTCAACCTCATTAGGACCGCACAATGAGCAGTAAACAACCGGTGACACAAAGTGCCAACATTCAGATGAGAATCACTAGGGCGCAAGTAAAAGAAACCCCATTCAAAAATTAGGTTATTTTAGGGCCCCCGACACATATAAAGTGGGGCTTTAAAATAACGAAAAACTGCTCCCCATATTGGCACAGCGTCATAATTATAACAAGCAGGAAGTTAAAAGTACAGATTAGAAATAAAAATCAAAAACAATGAGAACATCATAAGAATGCAGCATCACACACACATATTAAAACAAAAACTAACCAGAACTTCTAAACACAAGAGAGTACAAAGAATACAATTCAGCATAAATACTGCCATGCTTAACATGCTTTGTTAAATAGATAATTGATTGTAAGATTGGTTAAATCTAAGTGGTTAAATTCAGCATTCGTTACATGAAGCATTAGATTGGTTATCTGCTGAAAATGATTCAAGAGGAACTGAAACAATGTATCCATCAGGATACAAGACACAGTCATGTCTTTTCACATAAAAAGACTTCTGAGTCAGACAAAGAAGACAGAATTTTTAATATCTTATGATAACTGAATGACATTTTTTTTTTAAACGATGCTGCTATTTCTTTAGTCAACATTTTTTTTTTAATTAAAAAAAAATCCCATGCACGCACGCACACACACGTATAGACCAGAAAATAAGCTTGTTAAAATTTTTTTTTAGTTTTTGTGTGACTATACATGAAAGAAGACAGCATTTTTTATATCCTACAATAACTGAATGACCTCTTTGTAAAAACGTTGCTGCTATTTCTGTCGTCAATTTTTTTTTAAACATACATTCACACACATATGCATAGTCCAGAAAATAAGCTTGCTTAAAAAGTGGTTAGTTATTGTGTGACTCACATATATGTCAATTTCTCCTACCATTATCATGCATGCTAATCATATTGTCTATTATCTGAAGAGTTCAACTCACACCTTGCAGAACACACAAGAAATGTAAATGTAATGCAAGAGCAGATGCTGTCATTCAGTTGAAATGTCAGGTCTTTCATACTCCCAGTCTAGGGCATATGAGTTAACAAGATCCATTTCTCATCATCTTTCCTTCCCCAAACAAATTCTTCTATGTTTCTGGCGCCCATCTGTACAAGATTGGATTGAATCTAGAGCTTTTCCTTTATACTCCTTTTTTATGTCAATGGCCTGCTTGGCGTATGATGTAGGACTCATATTTTTATAGACTAGCCAGAACTCATGGGTTAATAATGCCAGCCACCTTTACTTCCCAGCACATTCATTAGCTGGTACCCATTTTAGGGAAGCTGAGATCAAAGATCAAATTTGGGATTTAAAAAATGTCCCAATACAGATTCAAACCCTACACCTTTGAGCTCGTAGATGAGCACTTAATGCGTGACTCCCAGAGCTGTACAGATTGGAGCAAAAAATCTAGAGATTGAACAGGGACCACTATTTTGACAAGAAACACATTAACAGCTATATCTCTGTTGCTACCTTAAAGTACAAAAATAAAATAACAGAAGACACTGAATTAGATATCTGTTTGACAGAAAATTAAAGCTGCTCAAACTAAATAAAGCTCTTAGAAAGCTATCTCACACATGTGAAATGACAATGTTAAATGGCTTGCAATATTCCACAGACCAAAGTCTGGCCATGACACTCACCTGCTGCTGGGAGCTGGCAGGGTTAGTCAGGTTCTGACAGGCCATCTGTATTGCCTGGTTGGCACGAGAAAACTGTGTCTGGTCAACGACTCCTGGACATCCTGGTTCTGATGCAGGGTCTGATATTCCCACAAGGTAGGCTGCCTGTTTGGATTTATTACATAGGCGAAATGTAGGTAGGTGAGGCAATGCCTTGGCAAAATGTTCTTGTCATCTAAATGTTAACAACGATGGGTAAAGTAAAACAAAGAACTTTAAACCATGCCACTACGGCAACAGGCATACGGTTACGGTGCTAGCCACATTTATTTTTGTAGACCAGTCGGCACTCAATGGATGAGGTGGTCAACAGTATGCCAGCCACCTGAAATGTAGTTTCATCATAATATTCTTTGACAGATACTGAGTTTATGAACCATACAGTTTTTTATCAATAATATTCTTAGATAAATACTAAAGATAAATTCGTATTAGTCTTTAAGCTGTACATTTTAAACATGATGTACCCAATGATGCAGATGGTTACCTGCTGGTCCAAAGATTTTGGAATATTAAATCCACCTTTTTAAGAAACTTAACTCGCTGCTATGAAGATACGGCCTAAAATAAGTATCAGGCAATGCCTTGGAAAGTAAACCTTTCAAAGAATACAGTAAACCTTGACAACAGGAATGCCTGAAAAAAAAGGGTTTTATCTTGACCTCAGAGACAGCACAGATGTGCGCAAACAGGCTTTATCTGCAGGTCACATGGTCGGGTTAGGGTTAGAGACTCCCAATTATCCACCAGTCTAGTCCATATAGCCTTGACCCAGCTCTGTCCTTCTATAAATACCTTACTTACCAATTGGTCGGTGGGGGAGGCACTCATACTATCTATATTGCCACTGCCTGTTGTAATTTCAGGCATGCCAGGGTGGGGGAGATGTATGAGTCCAAGTTAAAACTTCAAAAACAAAACAAATACTATCTATATATTAAAAGTGGACACCAGTGCCTGTTATGTAACTCTTTACTGAAGCATCAGTCCTCGATTCAACATGCCGGCCGCCTTTAGTCTGATTTACCTGATACATGTATGAGTCCAAGTCAACAGGCTGAGCATCTAGCAGCTGCACCACTGTGACTCCCAGCCTACAAAGAATTATCACCTCAAATCAAAGAAACAATGACCAGTAATCGGAAGAAAACATTACCTGCACGGAGGCCTCAGTGAGCCCACAGATGGAGTTAGCAAAGCTCCTCACAGCGCCACACAATTCATCCATGTCTCCCTGCTTGGCATGGCTGGAGATGCCCGTCATGGCATCACCCAGGTCCTGCACCACAATCAGATAAACAGTAAGCATATGTTTGTTCATAGAGTCTTCAGGTGGGTTCGGTGCCCCATTTTGGGGTAAGAAAAAATAAAGGAATAGACCCACTACCCCCTTACAAGCCTGTCGTACAAGGCGACTAATTAAGGGGTGCATCGTTCTAAATCAGAGTGCATCTGCCTGAGAGTCAAGGAACCAACAGTCGGCATTACAAATAAGACAGATCTGTAAAATGGATGTTCATGCAAAACTCAAGTTCTAGAACAAGATTTAAAAATCCAGAAGTGGATGAACAACCAGAACTTTCTGCCAGTTTCAGATTGTGGGTGGCTAAGAAGACAATTCATAAAAAAGGAAAGAAAAGTGGAAGAGCAGTTGAGCAAGAGATATGCAACGATATAAGTGGAACAACGTAATAATGATGGACAGCATCCTGAAAGAGTGTATCCAGAGAGATAGAGAGAGACAGAGAGAGAGAGAGAGATAGAGAGAGAGAGAGAGAGAGAGAGAGAGAGAGAGAGAGAGAGAGAGAGAGAGAGAGAGAGAGAGAGAGAGAGAGAGAGAGAGAGAGAGTGTGTGTGCATGTTTTTTGTGTGGAAATCTGCTGCACTTAATCTTCACTAGCGAGATGGACCTGACTGGTAGGTTCATGTTTTACTTTTCTGCAAATACCTGGCCACACACAGTGTCTTAGTGTATGCCTCATCATCATCATGTAGCAGGAGGTCCTTTGCAGATGCTGTGCTTATCACAGCCTGCCTGAAAATAAACTGGTCTATCGCCAGATCTCCTTGCTCTGGGCACCCTCCTACCCAAGGTCCACAAGTTTCATGGCATAATAATGTGGTAGTTTCACCTTGCTATCCTGGCCATGTCTCATAACAAAAATTATTTTTGTATTATCTAGCAACAGAAAGTGTATGCATACCTCTAGCCCTACATACATCTAACCGTACAAACTGTATGCATACCTCTAGCCCTATATAAATCTAACCACACAAACTGTATGCATACCTCTAGCCCTACGTATATCTAAAAATACAAACTGTGTGCATACCTCTAACCCTATATAAATCTAACCACACAAACTGTATGCATACCTCTAGCCCTACATATATCTAACCATACAAACTGTGTGCATACCTCTAACCCTATATAAATCTAACCACACAAACTGTATGCATACCTCTAGCCCTACATATATCTAACCATACAAACTGTGTGCATACCACTAGCCCTACATATATCTAACCACACAAACTGTATGCATACCTCTAGCCCTACATATATCTAACCATACAAACTGTATGCATACCTCTAGCCCTTCATATATCTAACCACACAAACTGTGTACATACCTCTAGCCCTTCATATATCTAACCACACAAACTGTATGCATACCTCTAGCCCTACATATATCTAACCACACAAACTGTATGCATACCTCTAGCCCTACATATATCTAACCACACAAACTGTATGCATACCTCTAGCCCTTCAAATATCTAACCACACAGCCTGTGTACATACCTCTAGCCCTACATATATCTAACCACACAAACTGTGTACATACCTCTAGCCCTACATATATCTAACCACACAAACTGTGTACATACCTCTAGCCCTTCATAAATCTAACCACACAAACTGTATGCATACCTCTAGCCCTACATATATCTAACCACACAAACTGTGTACATACTTCTAGCCCTAAATATATCTAACCACACAAACTGTGTACATACCTCTAGCCCTACATATATCTAACCACACAAACTGTGTACATACCTCTAGCCCTACATATATCTAACCACACAAACTGTGTACATACCTCTAGCCCTACATATATCTAACTACATAAACTGTGTACATACCTCTAGCCCTACATATATCTAACCACACAAACTGTGTACATACCTCTAGCTCTACATATATCTAACTACACAAACTGTGTACATACCTCTAGTCCTACATATATCTAACCACACAAACTGTGTACATACCTCTAGCCCTACATATATCTAACCACACAAACTGTGTACATACCTCTAGTCCTACATATATCTAACCACACAAACTGTGTACATACCTCTAGTCCTACATATATCTAACCACACAAACTGTGTACATACCTCTAGCCCTACATATATCTAACCACACAAACTGTATGCATACCTCTAGCCCTACATATATCTAACCACGCAAACTGTGTACATACCTCTAGTCCTACATATATCTAACTACACAAACTGTGTACATACCTCTAGCCCTACATATATCTAACCACACAAACTGTATGCATACCTCTAGCCCTACATATATCTAACCACACAAACTGTATGCATACCACTAGCCCTACATATATCTAACCACACAAACTGTATGCATACCTCTAGCCCTACATATATCTAACCACACAAACTGTATGCATACCTCTAGCCCTACATATATCTAACCACACAAACTGTATGCATACCTCTAGCCCTACATATATCTAACCACACAAACTGTGTACATACCTCTAGCCCTACATATATCTAACCACACAAACTGTATGCATACCTCTAGCCCTACATATATCTAACCACACAAACTGTGTACATACCTCTAGCCCTACATATATCTAACCACACAAACTGTATGCATACCACTAGCCCTACATATATCTAACCACACAAACTGTATGCATACCTCTAGCCCTACATATATCTAACCACACAAACTGTATGCATACCTCTAGCCCTACATATATCTAACCACACAAACTGTATACCTTTGATTTCTCCATGACCGTCTGCAGAGCGTCAAAGTAGGTGAGGTCGCTGACTGGTTCATTGGGGTTATCTAACATGCCAGCAATCATCTGTAAGAGATGTAAACAGTGTCAACATATTATGAAGATTGTAGATCTGAAAGCTGCAGCAGCCAGCTTCCCAATTAAGTGAAATCAAAAGCCACAAAAATATGAATTATAGAAGACGCACAAGAATATCAACGTGGTTCAGGAAACTACATGTGAATACATGAGACAAGCACAATGGCACTGGACTGGGAGGCCTGCCTAAAAGCTTAAATATTATCAATGTTTTGCAAAAGGGCCCGCTGTAAGATGGACACAGGAGTGACTGCAGTGAAGATAATATCAAGAAATGAATTACATAAACATTTTCTGTTCTATTTATTTTCTTTAATGACTCTCGTGTTTGGAGCTATAGCTTAGGATTCCGGTTGTTTAATTTGTTGCTACATAAGTTACTCAAAGCGTTCAGTTGTATCTGGAGGAGTCATTTAGGCTCCCTCTATGTTTAGTTAATTTCTATGGTTACAAGGTAATGACCAAGATGGTCGAAAGAAAATATACAGGCAAGCTTATAAACACTGGCAGTCACCAACTGCAAACAGAAGGCCAATCACAGAGGTGAATAGAGGTGGCTGATATTTGCAGCAATGCATCTCAAAAGCTTGGAATGCTCAAGAAGAAACAGGAGGAGGAGGAGAAGGAAAAGAAATGACAATGATGTTATCACCTGTATCTGTCGGAGAGCATTGTCACATTCTTTCTGTCCTGGAGCAGACTGAGTGCAGATGTTAAACAGATGGTTGATGCTCTCTGTCACTGCCCTGGAAGTAGCCAATATTAAATAAGTATTACTGGTAATGCGCATAATGATAAGGGCTACAGTAATTTATTCCATGGCTATACTATCACAGAGACGTAGTGTTCACTAGTTTCTTTAAAATGTTAAGGTCCTTTTGCAGGCAACTGGTACACTTGGCATACAGTATAGACCATATTTTTATAGGTCTTGGCACTAGGAGTTCGTCACCCGGCCGCCGCGGTTCACTCCCGGGGGTAGGCAGAAAAGCCACATTTCTCCCAGATTAACAGTACCTATAATGGAATCAATGCCGAAGGGTTGCAATATCCATAGTACCGAGCCAAAGGGTTTACAACTCATGGTTTCTGGATATGTTAAAAAAAAAAAATAGGGCTTGGCACTCAATGGGAAAGACATAATACTTAAAACAACTATTTTCTTCTCTGCTTGACTTCCTCTTTTATTGCTCTGGGTGTCGAGGGAGATATACGGTTCTGCTTCTTGCTCTTTTGGCCGCCTCAACTAAAGAAACACTGTGCTGTTGTAGAGTTTCTCTGATGTTACCTTTCCATTTTGTTCCTTGTGCTCTATTGTTCTTCTCCTTTTTTTAGTGTTTGTTAGTTTATGCTTTGAATGGTATGGTATTTTTAAAACTAAACTACAGTGTATGCCTTAAATGGTACGCTATATAAAAACTATACTGGAGTGTATGCCTTGCATGATTACGGTATATAAAAACTATACTGGAGTGTATGCCTTGCAGGGTATGGTACATAAAAACTATACTGGAGTGTACACCTTGTGTGGTTATGGTATATAAAAACTATACCGGAATGTACGCCTTACAGGAAAATGTTCAAATGAGGCAAACAAGAGTTAGAGTGTGATACAAGTCCCAAAAGTTCAGGTATTATGGCCATGTCAGACGTCACAGTGACGAATGGTGACAGCGGGCAGTTCCCAGAGGGCAGTTCCCAGAAAACGAGACATCAGAAAAATTAGGCAAAGGCAGACCTCTGTGAAGGTGAACATAGAACATTGAAGATGGACTGACTGTGAAAGCACATAGGGCTGGAGAGTTGGCTAGAGAAAGAGAGACTTCCAGGTGTGCCGTAAAGAGAGCGATGTTCTGAAAAGGACCTGTAGATTGGTGATGACGATCACAAGGGAACTAACATCAACTATAAAAACCCTACACAATGTGGATCTGAACCAGAGACTTCGGGCTAACAAATATCTAACCACTGTGAAAATGCAGCTCTCTGTATTAACTAGGGCATGATATAAGGAGTTGGGTTTACCAACTTCCTTCTTTTTTACCTTGTATTGTTCATATGCCACCCGCTAAACTCTAGGGTTTAGAGGTTTAGTGAATTCATTTCACAATTTTTGACATGTCAGAGATCATTCCCACAATGGACGCTTTTTTTCTTAACATATTCTCATGGTATTTGGACAGTAGTGCGAAGGACACACTGTGGAAAAGACTGGGGCCACACCATATAATATTCCTTAAATCAGCAGTAGGTGCACTGCTGACCACCTTTATTGCGGAGATGGGACATAACTTAGGTTGGGGAAAAGGTAAGCATCACAATCAAAACAGTAACACCAACAACAAAGCAATAAAGTCAATGCACCTGGCAGCCTGGGCTAGCAAGTTCCTGGAGTTTGGTGCGTTCGGGTCCGCAGAGACTGCCTTTGCTGCCACCAGTAGCTTGCTGGACACCATGGAGACGCTCTTCAGACCTCCGACGATCTGGTTCTGGGTCTCCAGATCTTTGGATAGCCCGGCCAGGGTCAGGCCGGTGTGGACAAAGTCTTCATAGTGTTGACTGTGGAATGGGCAAACAACAAGACTCTTTGAAATAAACAACCATGCTGTAATTATTTATTTTTTTTTTGGTTTAAAGTTGAAGGCAGGTAAGTAAGAGGTAGACAGTGATAGAAGTGGGAGGACATTAAGAGATGGATGAACAGCAGGCTGAGAAAGGGTAAAATGAGGGTAAGAGGCACAGACTGTTGCAAACAGAAAAAAAATGTAATCACTTTACATATGGAGAATTTAAACCTGGGTTGCCTGAATGAGAACCCAGTGCTCTTATCCACACAGCCACCAGCTCCTCACTCAGATACTTACAAACACCATACAAATGATCAAATAATGACTGCCAATGACAAGGAGTTCAAACAGACTCCTCCATGTGTGGGTTCCAGAGCCCCATTTAGGACAGAGGAGTTCAAACAGACTCCTCTATGTGTGGGTTCCAGAGCCCCATTTAGGACAGAGGAAAAGAACAGACTCACCGCAATAAGCATGTCATAAAAAGTGATTAATTAGGGATTTGCTGCAATCAGATGTGTTGGGCTGAAAGCTGCAGATATCACAACCTGACTGTAAACCACAACACAACATGCCAACCCCAGAAGTTTAATACACGGGTTTTAATCCTCAGTAAAGTGATGGATTTTTTTTTGTCTGCAGTGGATCTTCAACAGTCTCTATCTCTCACCCCGATTGTACCCTCTCTCAGACAAAGAAGGCTCTGCACCACTTGGTGGTGAATTGATGTATGACAAGTTAGATATTGTGAGGCCTTAACACTCAGGGGAAGGATGAGACAGATATGCAATCAGACAGTTTATGGTACCATCTGAATTGGAACTCTTCCCTTTTCTTCCAAAGATGGGGACTGAGCCCTTATGGGAATGTCCCGAGTGCTGCCATGTAGATTCTTAATTCAACATTCAACATTCAGACAAAGCTCTTCCCAAAAGAGACCAGGGGTGGAATTTATCAAAGACTCCCATAGGTAGGAGGCATACAGACAGGCCTTCCTTATCGAGACTGGGCTGAATCAGACTCCAATATATATAGTGAGCATGTCAATGGATAATCTTTTCCAATAGAATCCTAGAGATAAATTAAACACACTTCCATGTTAAATGACAAGCATGCGAATGAGATTATTTCCCAATTTAGACCTTAGGTTGAATTAAACACTCCCATAGATAGTTTGCATGGAAAAGTGACCTAGAAAGACACTCAATACCATCTCTGACACATGTTCTTTATACTATAGAGAAAACAACAATGAGAAGAACCTGTATCTAGCTAATTTAGACCTTGGGTTGAATCAAACACACTCCCATAGATAGTGTGCATGCAGATATGACCTAGAAAGACACTCAGTACCATCTCTGGTACATGTTCTTTATACTTTAAAGAATACAACAATAAGAAGAACCACTACCTGTATCTAGCTGAAGACTCGGCCAGGTGCTGGGTTGTGGCCACTCTGGAGGATGCCACGATGTCACTGGCTGCTTGGTTCAGGTTGGCTGCTGAGCAACTCATGTCATTCTGCACTTGCTTGTAGGTTCGATCCGTTGGGGGAAACTGTCCGACAAAATCAAGAAGTAATCAGAAGGTCAGACTGAGCTTTCATTGTATCAGCATGTGCTCTTGCTGTCTTTCTCATTTTCACTTTCTTGTCTCTCTCCAATTTCCTCTCTGTGTATGTGCATGTGTATATGTCTGTGTGTGTTCATGCATAAATACAGGAAGGCATGTGTGCACGTATATGCATGTGTGTCTGTGAGTAGGTGGGTATGCATGCACATGTGTGTGAGTGTTGAAAAAAAGGAGCTAAAGTGCTCTATAACATAAAGATAAGGGGAAGGGAGAACAATGGGATGATTTGGCTAATCTGATTGGCACCTCTTCGTCTTTCCAGGTGATAGCGTTACACTGCGCTATGATGAGGCATGGGACTCGCAGCCTATGGCGATGGCGAGTGTTCAGTTATGGCCAGGGGTAAAGTTCATCCTCTCCACATCACAAAGCCTGGGCAGTATTATAGAGACCATATGTTGCCCATGCATTATGATCCCTCTCTTAACCTGCCTTGTTTACTCCAAAAGAAAGGTAACACTAGTAAATTTGAAACAAAGCAGGCAGCAGAAGCTGCTGGATCAGAAAAGCAGTGCTCTGTCTGCCTGCCTGTCAGAGCTTCCCTCCTAGACCAGCTCCTAGACCAGCTCCCAGCCAAGGTTAAGATCCTGGTCTGCCCCGCCATAACATAACATTTTTAGGTTGCATTTCCTCTTCCTAGGATAAGGCTAGTATTCTCCCCAATGCGCTCTTCCATCCAAAGCCATTGGCACAATATGGGATGTCAGGTTTGGTATATCCCGCCCAACAACTGGCGTTAACAAAGGGATACTAGTAGGTGGTTCCGGCCACTGTTATACAGTAGCCCAGTCATATCTGGCCAGGACTTGACAAGGTTATCTGCTGTTTTACGGCTGATTTAGCTGCCAGGGATGTGAATAAGAGACTAATTAGGGGGTGGGTCAAGGAGAGCTAAATGACAAAGAAAAAAGATAAATGGTGTATGAACTGATGGAGGAAAAGGATAACATGATTAGGAGTTGTGATGATGAAGAATTATACCACCCCCCCACCCCCACCCCCCACCCCCACCCCCACCCCCCCCCCCCCCCCCCCCCCAACAAAAACTGCCATTATTGCTTGTATTTACCCATTTTAGGGCGATGTTGGATAAGGGATTCTGTGCCTAAAGGTTTGAGGTCTCACGGCTAGCACAGTTGTCACAAACTGTGCAAGTTAGGGTGTCTATGTTTACTCCCAACAGGAAATTACTACCATCACTTTACCGAGGATTCAAACCTGAGTCTGTCACATCAGAGTCTAATAATTTAACTGTCTTCTGAGCGTTCCTTGATGATGAAGAGAAATATAATCAAAGCAAACTTCACTTTCAATGACGATGATAATAATGAGATGAAAAAGAGGAATAGAAGGAAGAGAAGCATTGGCAAAGAAGGATGATTATACCAATAACAATCTTAATGAAAACACTCGATAACTCACCCTGGGACTGGCCAGATTCTGAGAGTTCTGTGTGATTAGCCGGATGGCATTGTCAATGTCCCTCTGTCCAGGCAGGCAGCTGACACAGTTGTTTAGAGCATTGGACACTGATTTGGCCACCTACAGGACAAACACACATAGAGAATATAAGTGCTGCATACCTCCAGGAGGAAGCTGACTAACAGCTGGAAAATATATAGCAGTATTAATTAAAAAGGGTGATGGTACAGATCAGGGCTTTTCAACTGGCAGCCTGTGGAGTCTAGCAAGTGGCCCGTAGATCATTGCCGGCTGTATTGAATTCGTGTTTCTATGCTGGGAACTGCTAAACCTAAATATTATTTTTTTTAAATAAGCAATGACATGAAATAGATAAAATTTAAATATCACTTTCGGGTAATAACTGTAAGCAAGAAGAAAGAATGCCTTGCGATACTAGGCCACACAAGGCATACACCAAAACAAGAGAGGGAAGCAGAGCAAGGGGCAGACCAAAAATAAGATCGAAAGATAGCATCAGAGAAACTCAACAACAGCATGAGATGTCTATGTTCGTAACACTGATCTCTCTCTCTCACTCTCTCTCTCGCTCTCTCTCTCTTTCTCCCTCCCCCTCTCTCTTTCCTTCTCAATCTCTCTCACTCTGTCTCTCTCAGTCTGTCACTTTTACTCTCTTTGTCTCTCACTCTCTATGTCTCTTTTATTTTTTATGTTTCTGTCTTGTTCTATAACTCTTTCCCTCTACGCCTCCCTATTTCACTCTTGGACACTTTCTCTCTCTCATTTTCTGTTTCTCTTAGCCTCATACTCTTGCTCATACTCTCTGCCTCAAACAGGTACTAAAGCAAAGTCAGGTACCTGTGATAGTCTCTGCTGATTCTCAGGATTGCTGGGATCTCCCATGGCATTTTTGGCTTCCTGCAGCAGACGCACAGACTGACTGATAACATCGCGGGCATTATCTATAATAGCCTGCTGGACCTGCAAATATACAGATAATTTATTTAACATACAATGTCATGAAAAGACAATTACTGAACATACAATGTCATGAAAAGTCATATACTGAACATACAATGTCATGAAAAGACACATACTCAACATACAATGTCATGAAAAGACACATACTGACACATACAATGTCATGAAAAGATATATACTGAACATACAATGTCATGAAAAGTCACATACTGAACATACAAGTCATGAAAAGACACATACTGAACATACGTCATGAAAAGACGCATACTGAACATACAATGTCATGAAAAGACACATACTGACACATACAATGTCAAGAAGAGACACAACTTCTCTTGTTTTCTTAGGATTAGGTGGGTGAGAGAGGGTGGCATCCATGCACGTATGTGGGTGTGTGTCTGTGTGTAAGGTCCTGATATTGTTTTATTTGCAAATAACAGTACTGTAATATAAATATCCAGGAAGTATATTCTCAGAGGATGGGATTATAGATCGAGAAATAGACATTAGATGTCAATGAGCCAGTGCACTTATATACCAACTGTTACCACTATTAAGACATCCAAACATAAGTATATGCACCAAGAAACAGATTATAAACAGCATATTTATACCAACACTGATCATTCTCTCATTCATACAAGAGATGAAATCAGGAATGAGGTAATAAGAGATAAAGCTGGCAAAGAACAAATTCTAAGTTACATACAAATATAGCAAATCAAACGGTTTGTCCAATCAGCGGCATATACCAAACAAGGAGAAGTACACAGAGCAGGAGGTAGACCAAGAGCAACAGGGAAAGACAATATCAGAAAAAAAACCTCCACTACAGCATGATATGTCTATGATCAAAGTGCAAGAAAAGCAAGAATGTCCCTCGACATCCTAAGAAGAAGAAGAAGAAGAAGAGGGAGGAGTAGTAGGAGAAGATAAAGATTAAGAAAATAATGATGATTTTGATGATGGTGATGATGATGAGGAGAAGGAGGAGACACCGAAGAAGAAACAAAAAATAGACCTATTACTGACTCCATGGGTTACCTGTCTGTCATCTGTAGTAGCGGCAACACCACGCACTGAGCTGACCAGTACCTTTAGTGCATTCACTGTATCTCTAGCAGCAATACCAACATAGTCTTCATTGCCCTGTACACCAGCATGAGAAACAGAGTAGAACAAACTACAAACAGAGAAGAATACTGAACAATAGTTAGAACACATTCAATACTTTGTACAATTTTGTTTTTAACTGATTGTTCATGCATAAAATAAAGACTATAAAATGCCCTTAATGTGCATGTCAGATGGGACCACAAACACCTGAACACATTCTGTAGGCCTGCCCACTATAGTTACAACTGTGAAGAGAAACCTGACCTCAGCAGAAATGTGTGCACAGCAATGCTATGGGGAAACTGCTGAGGGCCTGCAACTGACTTGCAAGTTCATAGAGGCAGCCCACCTGATGGTCTGGCTTCAGTATAGGAAACCGACTGCCAAGAAGAAGATGACACACCATTCTTGTGGCATTCGGACAGTGATACAAAAATCACAGCATGAAAGAGATTATGGCCAAATAATATTCCCAGGTACTATTACCACGTAATATTTCTAAAGACAGCCGTGGGTGACCTCCAGCCAAACTTTCACTGTGAAGATGTAACATTCATTAATTAATAACTGCCTGAAGTAAGAAGCTTCAGTGGTTAGATACAAGATCAGTTCTATCACAACCCTTTCAGTTAAAGAGCAAATGTCTCCATACACCAAATCCAACTGCATATATCAATTTAAATGTGGAGATTCAGTGGGTACTAGTATTCTTCTAAGACATTTGTTCTCAAAATTAGCAATTTTTTTTTTTTTAAATCTAGAGCTACCGCTGCTTTCCAACTCTCGCATCCATAAGTTAGCACTGGAATCACACAAGAGTTGAAGTTCTTTAGTTTTGCGCTTTTGCTGAATACTTACTTACACTGGTCGAACAGAAATTGGAAATGGAGGTGTTGTAAACATCCCTAAATGGCGGCTTCTCATTCTAATCCATACAAGGCATCTCCCACAATTTCACTTACTACACTTTTATTATTATAGTTAACACTACATGCCTTGGACAACCTAGCATAAGGAAGGAAGGAGAAGGAGTGTCCATGCCAGGTGAGTCATTACTTTACAAATCACACAAAGTCCTACCTGTGCGGCTGCAGTAAGTAACTGTGCCATGGATGATCCAACTGTCTTGGATGTTGTGCCCAGCTGAGTGGAAGACTGTTCCGCCTGAAATAATTGTGCTAACATATTTAAACATGGATATCACTAAAATCCTCAGCCTCGAACTGTTTTAGTGCAGGAAATAAACTATAAACTTCTTTCTTCTTCTTCTTCTTTGCGTTCACCGGCTGTTAACTCCAAGTGGAAAGTCCTGGTTGTTCGTTCACTTCTGGACTTTGCTCTTGATCCAGGTTTTGAGTATTGCAAGCACATCAAATTGACAGATCTGGCTTATTTGTGTGAAGACTGTTGGCTTCTTGCCTCTCTGGCAGATGCACTCCGACTCTGTAGGAAACATCGATCCTATCTCTGCTGGCCAGGCTCCGGGTTGGGAACCTGTTTTCAGGATGACCGCAGAGAAGTGTATTCATCAGGTCTTGACCAGTATAAGACCTGATCCCAGTGCACCACCATATGGTTTATATTACCTCTACATCAACAAATTTTAAAATTTCGTTTTAATACTCTGAGTCTCGCCTGTGATCAGAAGGTCATGGGTTCAGAACCTGACAGAGCCGGACTGATTTACAAAAAAAAATGACCTTGGCTCCCAAGTAGGCTCATCCTTAAATGGGTACAAGGTACAGTCCTGTGAACTAAAGGCGGCTGACGTTATGTTGACCAGTTGACCACATCACCCACCGAGTGTCAAATGGTCTATAAACTTTAGGTCTAGCCCTATATACCCAATACACCCGAAAGCGTGGAAAAGGGTACTTTACTTACTTTACTCTGTGGTCGAGGAGCAGCTGGTCGAGTGGTTACAACCTGGGGCTCTCATGTGGGAGACCCGGGTTCAAACCCCGGTGAAGTTGATGGAATTTTTCTGTCGGGGGCAAAATTAAACATCATAACCTGCACAGTCCATGGCCACAGCACTAGCCATACGGCCCTAAATCCTCAGGCTCACGACCCCACTCCCCCACCCCCTCGTTTACACAGCCCTTAAAAGGTGGTAAAATAGACAGTAGTGGCAGTAATTTGTGGTAAAAACATTAAGCTCAGCACGTAATTTGTGATACTGGGTGGTCAAAAGATGGACCATGAGTACGTGTACATTCAGAGGATAGAACATTGTCATGGGAATCCTGTAAAGCACCCCTCTTCCTGTCAGTGTCGTACTGGGCATATGATGCTAGATCCATATTCTTCATTAACTCTTTCAGTTCCAGGGGGTTCAGCATCAGAGGCCCAAGGAGTAGTCAAGAGAGACATAAAATCATAAAATCTTGCGTTCACTGGACATCTAGGTAGGAACCTGTGAAAATATGATGCGTTCATAGTGACTGAAATAGTTAAACCAATCGGCACTCAATGGCCCAACTGTCTGTGGTCAAACTCACGCAAGTCAGCTTCACTATCCAGGAATTTATCTGGTACCCACCTGGGAGGCAAAGCCACTTTTGAAAATAATCTGGCTCGATATGCTTTTTAACGCAAGACGGGTCAGAAATAATTATCCTGACTGCTGAAGATTGATCTTGGCATCTAAGTGAACTAATTGCATGTGACCTAAATAATGTGGCTAATCCTTTACCAACTGATCTGATTTTGTGCAGATATATACAGATGCATGATATAAAAATATGCATATAAAATCTTATTTCATAAGCACCACTGTGAAAGAAATATGACAAAGAAAGAAAGAAAGGAAGAAAGAAAGGAAAAAGAAAGAAAGAAAGAAAGAAAGAAAAGAAAGAAAAGAAAGAAAGAAAGAAAGAAAGAAAGAAAGAAAGACAGAAAGAAAGAAGGCAAGAGGCAGGCAGGCAGGCAGGCAGGAAGGAAGGCAAGGCAGGCAAGGAAAGGAAGGCAAAGCAAAGCAGGCAGGGAGGGAGGGAGGGAGGGAGGGAGGAAGGAAGAAAGAAAGAAAGGAAGAGAAAGGAAGAAAGGAAAGAAGGAAGGAAGGAAGAAAGAAAGGAAGGAAGGAAGGAAGGAAAGGAAAGGAAAGGAAAGGAAAGGGAAAGGAAAGGAAAGGAAAGGAAAGGAAAGGGAAGGAAAGGAAAGGAAAAGAAAGAAAGAAAGAAAGAAAAGAAAGAAAAAGAAAGAAAGAAAGAAAGAAAGAACAGACAGACAGAAAGAAAGAAAGAAAGAAAGACAGACAGAAAGACAGAAAGAAAGACAGACAGAAAGAAAGAAGACAGACAGAAAGAAAGAAAGAAAGAAAGAAAAGACAGAAAGAAAGAAAGAAAGAAAGACAGAAAGAAAGAAAGACAGAAAGAAAAGAAAGAAAGAAAGAAAGAAAGAAAGAAAGAAAGAAAGAAAGAAAGAAAGAAAGAAAGAAAGAAAGAAAGAAAGAAAGAAAGAAAGAAAGAAAGAAAGAAAGAAAGAAAGAAAGAAAGAAAGAAAGAAAGAAAGAAAGAAAGAAAGAAAGCCATTCTATAATTCATGACAGCATTACAAACAACTTTCAGCTCTCGTCTACTTCCAACCAGAACAGAATTTAACTGACCGTTTCTCCAGGGAGCTGGGTCAGCTTGCCGCCCACTGCTGCCTGTTTAATGTCAGCCAAGTCCTGACTGAGGTCTCCCAGATGGTCCAGGGCACTGTCGATCTCCAAGGAAGTGCAGGTCTCTTGAGCCTGGAGACAGGACATCATGTTTTATTTAACTGCACGAGAAGAAGTGACTTAAAGTTACATGAATATTCTTTCTTTGTGTGTGCTGGTTCCACAGTGGAGGCTATATGCACATTATAGTAAAACCTTTGTTAATAAGAATTTGCTTAAGATGAAAATTTGGTTGACATGAACAAAACTTTGGTCCCGGTAGGGATGGATTATCAATAATATATCTATCAAGTTAGTTTTAATCTAAAGTTTCACTGTATATAAGTGGTCGGTGAGTTGCTCGATACTGAATAAGTTTATGGTTTTCTGTTTTTCATCGACAATGACTTAGTGGAAAATTCAGTGCATGATCTGTTTCTGTTTTGGGGAATAAAGATATATGAAGTAGAGAAATCAATAAACATGAACAGAATGAATTCCACAGAGCCTGAAAAACCACATGTCGGGCAGCTCATGCTGTGATCTCCAGCACTGAGGCTGCAGGAAAATCTGACATCATCTTGGTTTCTTAGAAGCTATTTGGTTCAAAGTAAACCACCCCCCTCCCCCCCACCCCAATACTGTTTTTAGTTAATACAGTCATATCCTGACCATCTAAACATCTGTGCAGGTGCAAAAACAGCCAATAGCATTAATTATGAGTCTCAAAAATAGGTCACTATAGACAAGTCCGAAAAGTGACGCTGGGTTCAACTGGAAGTGTCAGCTTTGCGGCTTCTATAGACAAAATGTTTAAATCTCAGCACTATTCAAGTTTCCTCCTTTGGGAACAAGTGAACAGTGCAGATGCGCAGATAAATCATTATGGTCTGAGGAGAATGGCGCTGCGAGGAGTTACCAGAGGATGTAACAGACGCTCAACACTCAGGGTAAGGATGAGACGGATATACAATCACACGGCTACTGGTGCCATCGGAATTGGAACTCTTCGCTTGATGCTGAAGATGGGAGACGGAGCTCTTATGGGAGTGTCTCAAATGCTGCGTTGTCGTTTCCTAATTCAACATTCAACTTTTCAAGTTTTATAAACCTTCATATATTTAGAAACAGATTAAACAATCTTTTATATTAAAAAAATTTAAACAAAAAAAAAAATTTTTTTTTTTTTTTTTTTTCAAGTATTAATTATCCTGCGTAAAATGGTTGTTTTTTAAAGGGTTTTTCCCAGGGATTCCTGTGTTCTGGGCCTTTTTTTCCAGAGGCTTTTAGGACAAAAGGGTTCAAAGAAGAATGACTAAGCAAATATGCTGTGTTTGATTTAATTCAGTAAAGAAATTCAAATACCCAACCAGACCCTGAAGTCTAAAAACCAGACTTTACACCCGTTTCATTGGCAGTTTTTTCTTTCCAGTTTAGAAAAACTGATGGACATATTGTTTATTGTGTCACGTAAAATAGGACAACAAATCTGATAAATGATGATGCTGATGATGATTATTATGAAAATCCACCAACTCCTTCCCCTCCTCCTCTTCATATTCTTCCACTTCTTTCACATTTACCTTACTAGCTGAAGTTCTAAGCTCTGCAACAGCACTGGACATGTTCTTGACAGCGTTGTGTAAGTTCAGGGCTGCCGACTGGTCGGTGACAGTAGGGGCTGCAGCATTGGATGCCGCAATGAGCCTGCTGGCAGGCTGGATGAAGTCCTGGCAGGCATTGATGAGGGCCAGCTGACTGGTGGCGCTGTCTGGGTGTCGCTGGACAGCCCGCAGGGCTTGTACGAGAGCTGGGATTTGCTGGTCAAGTCCCTGTAGGGTTTCATAGATGGAATGTTAACATGAAATAATGATGCATTGTTATTATTAGCCCATCTGCATCAGAACTGACTGCAAGTATATGGACAGAAGATTGTGGACAGACATGACTACCAACACCACCCATCAGGAACTATAGAAAGAATAAGAATGTTTTCTCACTGCGTGTCCCATCCAAAGCCAGCAACCTTTTCTTACCTTTTGATTCAGTGAACACAAAACACAGACCTGACCCAACCACCTGCTTATCAACATGGCACATGATGATGATAGGGGCCACAGCAGCGTCATGACAAAACAGTCACTTATCAGCCCAAAGGTCTTCGGTTCAAATCTGCAGACTGGGAATACTTTTTTTTTAATTTAAATTCACCTTGGCTCTCAGGTCCACCCAGGATAAAAATGAATACCAAGTAATGTCTTGAGAAATAAAAGTGGAAAGCAAGATAATGACCACCATCATTCACCGGGTGCCGAATGATTTATAAAAAATATGAGTCGCTAGCAACCTATATAGCAGTATGATGCGCTACTGGCGTGAAAATGGTCTTTTTACATGACGATGATGATGATGAAACAAAACATCCAGTCAACTAACCTCAGCTGCTAAAGTCATCTGCTGATTGGAAGATGGGTTCCGGTTGGTTTTGTTGGCCTGGTGCGAGGCATTTATCAACTGGGTCGCCGCTGCTGTAGCCTGGTTAGCCGCTCCCTGTATTTTAGGAAACAAAATCAATCATTGTTATAATTGGTAATAAAGGAGATTTGTAAAATATACACACACGCACTCATACATACTCAAACACAAACCCATTCATGGTTACACTAAATTTTACACATACATACACCTAGTGAAGCATACACTCATTCCTTTAAACAAATTCAAACATACATATGCACATAATCATACATTCATAAAAACACCTTAATACACATACTTACATAAACAAACACACACACACACAAATACATCCACACAAATACACATTCATACATACACACATCTATTGGCACACTTCTATATGCACACTCATATATATACATACTCATATATACACAGAAATATGCATACTCATATACACCCAATTTATGCACACACTAATTTACATATTCCCTCATACACACCCACTCATGAATGTACACTCTCATACTCACACCCCCTCATCAACCCACAAGTAAAAAAATGGAGAAAACCATTAGAGAAATCAAGACCAAAGTAGAGAAGTCGATGAACAACCAGGACTTTCTGCCAGAGTTTACAGCTGCTAAATACGAAGAAGAAGAAAGACACACAAAAATAAGCCAACAGTGTATTACCTCCAACCGTGTAGTCAGCCTTCTCTTCAGCGCATTGCTGGCAGCTGTGTTAGTGGCTGACCTCAGATCCTCTGCAGCTGTCCTCAGCATCTGCTGCTGGTGAGAATCATTGGGGCTGAGAATAACAAAGGTCACTTACTTGATAATGATTTCCACACGTGCACTGTGACAACAGGAAAGTTAAAGGGAAAGAGAGGCAGAAGGAGATCACGAGAGAAGATTGGCAGTTTGGCATCATGGCATGGGAAGAAGATCTTTATCAGAAATGACTGTCAGCAGCAGAAACAGAAGGTTGTGGACACTCATGATTACCCAATAAATTGATTCCCATTAATATCAGTAATAGACACTGAATACGGTAGATTTCTTGAGTGTGTTATGGCCAACCACAAAACCCTCAAACATGTAAGAGACCATATTAAGCTAAGGAGAGAATTTAACAGACATAGATTTTCACACATCACGTGCTGTTTGGGACTCAAAGTGTTAAGTACCACATTATACATGCTCTGACTAGTCACTCTTGGAATATGAAGAGATGTTCACCTTGAAGCACATCCTTTTGCTGCTTCCACGAGCCTGGCTGTGGCATCTGCTAGTTGCTTGGCCGCAGCCAGCAGTCGTTTCTGGGTGTCTGTGTCACTGTGTTCTTCTGCTTGACCTCTGATGGCACTGACAAGGGTGGAAGTTGCCTAGTGGGAAATCAAATTCAGCCAAATCATTTACAGTTTTAGGTTTATACAGCAAAACTGATAAAACAAATTAAGGGCCCAACAAATCAAGGGTTTGTGTTAAATAAAATGGGTGCTAAACGGAGACTAATAATAACAATGCATCAATGCAGGGACCAAAATAATGTTCATGTTAACTGAGTGTTCTTAACTCTTTCTGTCCCAAATACTATGTGGGGTCGGGCAGTATGCATGTGTACCAGTCTACATGCTATTTATGTTTTTACACTTGATGTTTAGTGAGGGAGTATGAAGAACCCTGTGATCATATTTGTTTCCTGCAAGGGTTTGATATCTGGTCCCTCTGGAAGTAGTATACCCATGAGTTTAGTACTGCCATTTGTAACTCTCTCAGACTAGCTAGGATCTTGTGGGACTGAAAGAGTTAAGTGAGTTCATGATAAAGCAGTTTTACTGCTCTAAGTTTAAGAACTGTCTGTCTTTACTGACTGTACATTACCACTTTTAACGTGTAGTTGGACACAGATTTTGCCCCACGTTCCAGTTTCCAAAATGGTCAGGTAAATACAGCTTTTCATTTTTATGTTGGCTAGTGTGTCTTCCTGTCCCTATTTCTTTCTGTAACTGCTAATTAATAGAAGTTCATTTTTTATTACTGTTAAAAAAATTTTTTTTAAAGAAATTCAGTTATCTAATGTCAGTTTTTATCATCAGATGGTAAAGCCTGTATACCTAGAAACTACCGATGACCCAGATGCAAAAAAAAACTATCAACTGTCAACTGATTGGTTGAATGCTAAGTATTCTTTCTTGTGTGCAATTTGAACAATTTCACTAACTAAATTAGGAAGATTTTAAATGTAAAATTATGTCCCTTTCAGTAAATATGCGGTTTTCTTTTCCCTTTTTTTTTTTTTTTTAAATAATAGTTTTAAGTGTACATATTTAAGTGTATGGTTCTAAGGGTTACAATCTGAAGTGTATTTTTCCAGTTTACAGTTCCATGTTCCTAGTTTTTAGTGTATAGTTCAAATTCACAGTTCCATGTTTATAGCTTTAATTTGTAATTCTAAGTATATAGTGCCAATTTAAAGTTCTGAGCCTACAGTTCTAAGCTACTACATTTACAGTTTATTAAGTACTGTATTGTTAACAGTGGAAATTACCAGAACACACACATATTTTAAACTACTACTTTTTCTGCATTCGTCCGAAGACGTAAATGTGCTTTGCCCATTTACAACAC